TAAAGATTAATTTTATCCCTTGCAAAAACTTTGTTTAACCATTTTAAATCATGTGATTCTTTGAACGGTTTTGATTTAAAAGATGTTATCAGTACAATACCTTCGTTGTTAAGTTATATATTTACATTGGTTTGGTGTAATTTGGTTAACGTGTCTACTTCAGATCTTTGTGAAATCGTACTCTAATTTTTAATGAAACGTTGTATCTATATGTGATTCTTCAGATCTCACGTTTTTTTTTTAATTTGATCTTATCAGATAATGTATTAAATGTGAATTGTCGTAAATGGACAAAAAAATTATCTATTAACATGAAAAAATCATATTACTATTACATTTCGAACACAATATCATGTAAACTATTTTTTTTCCCAATAAATGTAATTTTTCAACTGAAAATATAAATTAAAAAAATGTGTAGTTTAGAAACGTAAGATTAAGGATTGAAGTGGGTATTAAATGTGAGATAAATAGAATTAATTAAGGGGATGAATTTAGAAGATATTCGCTGTGGTAATAAATATTTTGGTGGAATAAATGAAGCTCAAAAACATCAAATCTTTAAATAATTATTTCTATGTGGAAAAAAGAATTATCCCATTATTATTATTATTATTATTATTATTATTATTATTATTATTATTATTATTATTATTATTATTATTCACGGTAAAAAAATGTTTGTAGATAATTTATGAAGCGTTAATAGACAATTTTCGTCTATATTTTCACCGTAAAAAAAATTATAAGGGTAAGGAGTATTAATGTATATTTTTTAAAATTTTATAGGTATTTTTTAAATAATTACTAAAAATAAATTATATTTTTCTAACTTTTTTTTCAAAAAAGTATAAAGAAACTCACGTTAACGACGGTAAGGATATTTTTGAGACTTAAGGGTATTTGTAGCATCCCAAGTCCACTGCTAGCAGATAGTATTCGCTTTGACTTTTATGTATCGTCGTCCGTCTCACGATTTTAAAACGCGTCTAATAGGGAGAGATTTTCACACTCTTACAAGGAGTGATTCGTTCTCTTCTCCAACCGATGCGAGATTTACAATCCACCCCCTCAGGGGTCGAGCATTCTCACTATCGTGAAGCGTGAAGGGGATAGGGGCTTAGCTCTTGTGGGTATTTAATGACTCTGAGCAACGGGGTGTGCATGCCAAACCCTATTTATTTCCTTCATGCACTCTTCACTCTCCCCCCTCCACCTTCCACCTTCTCTCTTTTGAACAAACAAACAACATTAAACAGCTATCATTTTTCAACAATATGCAACTCAAAATTCATATATATATAATAATATTATTAGTCGGGTAAGAAGAGAAACTTTGAACTTACGATCTCACGTGCATCTTAAATTGGCTTGATATGTGACGTTATACATTCGCATCATGTGATACATAAAATCGACATGAACGAGAACAATACTATATTCAATAAGCGTAAACTTTCGTACACTTTTCACTTCCAATTTCGAGCACAATCTTTCCTAGATAACCCTAACAAAACCTAACCGTGCATCACATACTTTTTCGGGTTTTCAAATTTGTGTGAAAATCTCCTAAGAAAATCGAAAAAGAATCTGACCAATCGTTGAATTATTTGATTAATTAAGTAATTAATTGATTATGGTCCAATATTTATTCACAAAATCATCGTCCATTCCATTCAGAAATTTATTATATTTCAGTAATTAACATATTTCCTCGTACTTCAGCCTTACCCACTTCTATTTATTCATTATTCCATTCCTACTTTTTCCTTATTTAATTTGAATTTATTTCACGTCCATTATTTTATTTATTTATTTAAAAAATTAAATTATACGAAATATATACAATACAATCGGAAGTCATGTGATCTCACTTACAAATTATAGTAACCTCATAAATTGACGTGATAACTGGATTGGGTCCGGGTCCGGGTCGGGTCGGGTCGGGGAATATGAAGAAGGGGCACTGGATTGGGTCTTATTCGCATGAGCTGGCATGTGCCTGAAGGGTAAAGGCAAGTTGCTTTCACCCATAAGCCCATAACCCAAAAGTAAAATCTGGACTTTAACCGCATCAAGTTTCTTAATGCACCGCGGTGAAAATTATCAAGTGAAAACAATAGTTTATTGGGCCAAATGATCAGAACTCGGCCCATTTGAATAATTCTTTAGAAATAACATATAATTTCAATAATTTTCAATTTGCATTAAATTAAAAAAAAGGTTTGTTAAATAGCACGATATTGTCCATTTTGACCATTAATTCTCGTGACTTTGCTTTAAATTTATTAGTGAAATTAGTATTTTTCACTTATAAACCTATGATCATTTCCTAAATCAAGGACTTTCGTTATCTAAGAAGGTTAGATATAAACAATAAAATCTAAGAACAGAAAGGTCAGGTGTGGGTTTGGTGTGGGTTTTAACGTGAAACGGCAGCTTCAAGCCTTCAAATGCATCGAACGGAGAATTTAAAATCGCAGAAGAAAAACGAAGAGAGCTCATAAAATACTCCGAAAGGTATAAATGGATTGACTTCGTAATTTTAATGTAACCGCCTTGTTTTCTGCTGTGTCCGTTTCTTGCCATCTTTGGTTCTAACTCTTTCCTACGGCCGGCTGCCCTGGTTTGCCCAACATGGTAGAAACGTAATACATTTTAAATTTTGTAACCCAAAACCCATTATTCCTCCATTTCCTCTGCCCTGCCCTTTCTTCACTTCTTGGTTCTTTTACTCTTTTTTCGCTTCTGGGGCTGTGGTTTTGATCCAGATGAACGATTTGCTCACGGTAATTTCTGTTTTGGTTTCTGGGTTTTCTGTAATTTGTTTCCCATGTTCTTGTTCCATGAGAATTTAGTACTTTTGGAGAAATTAATGAATGATAGTTCATGTCTTTTTGTGTCTGGAAATTTGACAAATAATCCCCAAATGGTTTCATTTGTTTCATTTCATGAAATTGATTCTAACTTATTGTATATCATGTTGTTTATCTAAGGACTCGTTTGTTAGCAATGGCAAAGGCGAGGTATCGAGAGATATCGATATCGAGAAGGGAACGCCAGTTGTGCTTAGCAATTCTGACATGGGAATGGAGGCCTTCAATAAGCAGGTGTAACCATGGGACACTCTTTGTTGTATATCATGTTTGTTCTTTTATTTATAGTCATTCTTCTTGTTTGAATTTAGATACAAGAGGTTGAGGTACAAGTAGATAAGCTTTCTGGGCTTCTTATCAAACTCAAGGTGTGTAAGAGTCCTTTTGAGTTGGACTAATAAGTCTTTGAATTTAGGAGGAATGATTATGAACTTGTTTATAGGATGCTAATGAGGAATCAAAGGCTGCTACAAAAGCATCACAGATGAAAGGTAAGTATGTCTCCTTGTTTTATGTTGAGTAGCATAGAGAAAAAGTTTGGTTAAGCTTGAGCCAAATGTTTCGATCGTTCGCTGTAACAGCCCAAGCCCACTGCTAGTAGATATTGTTCGCTTTGACTTGTTATGTATCGACGTCAGTCTCATGGTTTTAAAATGCGTTTAGTAGGGAGAGGTTTCCATACCCTTTTAAGGAATGGTTCGTTCCCCACTCCAACTGATGTGGGATCTCACAATCCACTCCCTTGGAGGCCCAGTGTTCTCACTGGCACGTTGTTTAGTATCTGGCTCTAATACCATTTGTAATAACCCAAGTCCACCGCTAGCAGATATTGTCCGCTTTTTCCCGTTACGTATTGTCGTCCGTCTCACAGTTTTAAAATATGTTTACTAGGAAGAGGTTTCCACATCTTTTTAAGGAATGGTTCGTTCCCTACTCCAACTGATGTGGGATCTCACAATCCACCCCCCTTGGGAGGGAGCCCAGCGTCTTTGCTGGCACATCGCTCGGTGCTTGGCTCTGATACCATTTGTAACAGCTCAAATCCGCCGCTAGTAGATATTGTTCGCTTTGAATCGTTATGTATCGACGTCAGTCTCACGGTTTTAAAATATGTTTACTAGGGAAAGGTTTCCACACCTTTTTAAGGAATAGTCCGTTCCCCACTCCAATTGATGTGGGATCTCACAATCCACCCCCGCCCAATGTTCTCGCTGGCACATCGTTCAGTGCCTGACTCTGATACCATGTGCAGCAATCGAAGCTCACCACTAGTAGATATTGTCCGTTTTGGCCTGTTACATATCGCCGTCAGTCTCACGGTTATAAAATGCGTCTATTAGGAAGAGGTTTTCACACCCTTATATAAGGAGTATTTCGTTCCCCTCTCCAATTGATATGGGGATCTCACAATCTACCCGCTTGGAGGCCTAGTGTCCTCGCTGGCACATCGTTTAATACCTGGCTCTGATACCATTTGTAACATCTCAAGCCCACCACGTGTAGATATTGTCCTTTTTGACCTGTTATATATCACCGTCAGCCTCACGGTTATAAAACGCGTCTTTGTTCCCCTTTCCAACCAATGTAGAATCTCACAATCCACCCCTTTACGGGCCTAGCGTTCTCATTGACACATCGCTCAGTGCCTGGCTCTAATACTATTTGTAACAGCCCAAGCTCACCGCCAGCAAATATTGTCCATTTTTGCTCGTTACGTATCACCATCAGCCTCACAGTCTTAAAACATAGGGAGAGGTTTTCACGCTCTTATAAGGAATACTTTATTCCCTTCTCCAACCGATATAGGATCTCACATCCGCAAGGCTCCCGACAATTTCCAGAAATTATGAATACTTGTTCTTATTGCTCCAAGTGTTCTTGTCATTTCAGCTATCAAGAAGCGTATGGAAAAGGATATCGATGAAGTGGGAAAAATAGCTCGCAATGTCAAAGGGAATCTGGAAGCTCTAAATAAAGATGTAATACTCGACTTGCTCGAAGATTTTCCATTTCTCAATTATTTGATGAACAGTTGCATACTAATCACTTCTCTTCTCTCCAGAACTTGACCAATAGGCAGAAGCCTGGGTGCCAAAAGGGAACAGCCATTGACAGAGCAAGAATGAACATGACAAAGTCTGCTACCCACAACATCTTACTCTTAATGCTTTTCTTTGATTAATAATGTTCCTCATAGTTGAATTCATCTTTGAATCGCAGTTCCTTAACAAAAAAGTTCAAGGATTTGATGATAGAATTTCAGGTATTCTGAACTCTCCTTGTTATTATTTGATATGATTCTTTACCTTCACCTCTCATCCTCGTATCACGTTTCAGGCCCTTCGTCAAAGAATTCAAGACGAGTACCGTGAAGTCGTGGAAAGACGAGTGATTACAGGTTCAAATTTCTTGTTCATGATTGATTGTGTGTAGATATGTCATGGTTATCCTTTTCTAATATGAACTTTATCGTGTAGTTACCGGTACCCGACCAGATGAGACGGTAAGCTGAAGTTTGGACTTGAAATTTAAGAACGAACCGAAATTTTGTTGTGCTGACCAGAATTTTAATGACTACATTAGATGATTGATGAACTTATAGAAACTGGAAATAGTGAACAAATATTCCAGAATGCATTTGAACATATGGGACGAGGAATGGTACGTTCTTGAGTACAGTTTCTTACGTTTATTGTTCACCAGAAAGTATATCTTCGAACTGCATCCCTGTTTGTTTGATTAACTGTGGCGATTCATAATTTTATGATCTGTACATTGATGCAGGTTATCAGTACCGTGGAAGAAATTCAGGAGCGACATGACGCGGTTAAAGAAATTGAGAAAAGGCTCTCAGAATTGCATCAGGTATACCTTTTGTAACGGCCCAAGCCCACCGCTAGCAAGTTTTTAAAACACGTCTGCTAGAGAGAGAGGTTTCCACACTCGTCTAAAGAATGTTTTGTTCCCTTCTCCAACCAACGTGGACCTCACAATCCACCCCCTTCAGGGCCCAATGTCCTCGCTGACACTCGTTCCCTTCTCCCATCGATGTGGGACCCTCCAATCCACCCCCCTTTAGGGCCCAGTGGTCTCGCTGACACTTGTTTCTTTCTCCAATCGATGTGGGACCCCCAATCCACCCCCCTTCAGGGCCCAGGGTCTTTGCTGGCACATCGCCTCGTGTCCACCCCCTTTGGGGCTCAGCCTCCTTGTTGGCACATCGTCCAGTGTTTGATTCTGATATCATTTGTAACGGCCCAAGCCTATCGCTAGCAGATATTATCCTCTCTGAACTTTCCCTTTTAGGTTTTCCCTCAAGGTTTTTAAAACTCCTCTCTACTAAGAAGAGGTTTTCAGACCCTTATAAAAATATGATTCGTTTTCCTCTCCAACTAATGTGGAATCTCACACATTTACTCGAGAGTTACAGTTACAATTACGATGTTGGTTTCTCAACAGTGTTATGTGTCTCTTTTCTTGGTCAGGTTTACCTTGACATGGCAGTTTTAGTGGAAGCCCAGAGTGAAATTCTGGACAACATAGAAAATCAGGTTGGTCCTACTTCTTGGTATGCATACTTAGTTTTCGTCGTTCGATCACGTTCAACGAAACGATGATTTCGTTTCAAAATGCAGAGAATCCACTTGAAAAGGGATCTGCGTTACCGTTGTTATTCTTCTGTTCATAATTGCTATTATAGTTTGTTTGTGTGATCCAACCATGTCTGATACTCTTTTTTGTGCATAGTACTGCCAAGTCCTAAGTTGATTAAGCTGAATTTGTTGCATCAACGTAGGTAACGAACGCAGTCGACCACGTTCGAACAGGAACCGATGCACTCCATACAGCAAAAAGTTTGCAAAAGAAATCAAGAAAATGCATGATGATCGCCATCATATTGCTGCTGGTTATAGCACTCATAATAGTCCTCTCAGTGCTGAAGCCATGGAAGAAGTAACCGATGGAAATGATACCCAAAATATGAACTCAGTTTCATGGTTGATATCTTCCATATCCTTTATAGATACCCATCAAACACAAAATACAATACAATGAACATTGCAAAATGCTGATTCATGAAATTCAAACACATTGAAAAAACCAAACTTAAAGTGGTTGATTCTTGAAATTCAAATATTGAAATTATTATTGTTCTTAGAGCTTGCTTCCTTTCCTCTTACATTCTCGACTTCGCCACGACCACGCTCCCTTCTTCTCCCAAGTTCCCCGCTCCCGCCCTCGTCCATGACTCCTTGAACTGCTCCTCCGTCACCCCTGCAAATCAAAATTCAAACGATTATCACTTGTTTTTAAACACTTTCACAATGTCGAACGCTTGGACTTTGCTTGCCTTTTCCCATGGCAGCGGTCGATGATATCCCGCCTTGAACCGTCTTCAGATACCGATCGTAGTAGTTAGCTCCGGACCATTTCTGATGAGCCAGTGTGTCCACTCCGTTGTTCCTTTCTTCTCTTTGGATTCTCTCCACATAAGCCAACATTCCCCTTCTCGCGTAGTCTCTCGCAAATGTGTCGATCACCAACGCATCGGCGTGGAAACCCGCCAGCGTTATGAACTGCCAGCAGAAACCCAGCCTCGCAATCGTCGGGATGAACTCCTCCATTTGTTTATCGCTCATTCCCGATGCGTCCCAGTTGAAAGATGGCGATAGATTATAAGCCAACATTATTTCTGGGTGCACCGATTTCACCCCTTTGGCGAAAGTGGTGCACTCCACCAAATCAGGGCTCGACGTTTCCATCCAGATTAGGTCCGCGTGTGGCGCGAAAGCCCAACCGCGAACGATTGCCGCCATTACTGAACCTTTGAATCTGTAGAACCCTTCTCTGGTTCTGGGCAAGTCCCAGTCCCAGAAGAGATTCTTCAGCCCTAATTTCTCTGCGATTTCCCGACCTTGTTCGTTCGATATGCATTTCTCGTAGCTGGAATGGTTCATCCATTCATCCAATTTCCTCCTCTTTTCACTCTCTGTTCCGTTCGAATTCATGATCGCGTCGGTTACGCACTCTGAAAATGTCTTCAATTGTGCCATTGAAATCCATTGATCTTCCAGCGCTTGAAGCTCCGCCCCTGTTTTCCCTGCCGCCATGGCTTCCGCCAAAACCCCAGCCAAGCTCTTCCCTCTCAAATTAGGGTTCGTCGCACCCAAAATAAACTGATGATCTCTACCATCAACATTCGTTTGAATCAAAGTCGCCGCAACCGCGTCGGTTCGAGCCACGAGAACTGTCTCAACCCCCATCACGTCGAACTGCAATCGAGCCGCTACGAGCCGATTGATGTGCTCACTAACCGCCACCAGCACTTTCCCAGCCATATGACCGCATTTTTTCGTCACAGAGGACTGATCCTCAATGTGAACACCGGCGGCACCGCGCTCCACAAATAGTTTGCAGAGCTTCACCGTGGCGGTGGTGCCGCCGAAGCCGGTGTCGCCGTCGGCGATAATCGGTTTGAGATAGTCAACATAAGGGGTTTTGGCTCGTTCCTCTCGGCTCATACTCATCCTCGCTTCCCTCTGTTTCCGGTCATGGTACTGTTGAGCGAAGAACAAATGCTCAACCTTGTTCGGAACAGTGTCGTATGGGTAATCGGCGAGGTCCGGACCTGGTTCATTGGTGGAGGTATGGGTTGAGGAGCACTGCCAGCCGGAGACATAAATGCTGTCCAAATGCTTAGCCATCATCGTCACCTGAACAGGGTCTAGAGCTCCGAATGTTCTCGACGCTGTACTGTTGGCTTGGTGGGTTTTCAGCGTTCGCCATAGCTTTTTAGCTAAATCGTTTGAGGCGTAGCTTTGTCTCAGGCTGCCGCGTAGTGACACCACGTCTTTTGCCGTGTACGGCCGTCGTGTTAGCTTGAACCTCTCAGAATTCCACCATGCCTGCACCTCTGCAACTTCCGCTTCGAATCTTCCTTCTTCTTCCATTATCTGTTTCATCAAGAAATTTCAACTATTAGTTACTATTCATCTCTGATGAATTACAACAATTGAGAGGTAAATTAACAGCAAATTTCTTCTGGGTTTCGCGTTTTTTGATGAATTAAAACATCCCAACAACTCAAAATCCCAAAACAGGGGATGTTCAAACAAACCATTGAAGGAACAGAGAAGGAGGTAGCCATTGCCAGAACTTGGTTCTTCTTTCTCGACAACAACAAAACTCAGCTCAGCTCAGCTCAGCACAGCTCAATGCAGAAGGTTTCATCCGTGAGCTTATATTTATAATGGGGAAGAACAAAAAGGGCGAGCTGAGATGGGTAAAAGTGAATTAATTATCGTTTTAGATAAGAAGAGAAGGCTACAGAAACCAAGAACGTTCATCCATTGTGTTCTGCTGTATATGGTAAATTCGAAGGAAAATACATTTTGATTTTGGCTTCAATTTTTTCTCTTGGTTCTTATCTACAGAGATTGATGGAAACTTGTCCGTTGTGAGGTGCATTTGCAGAGCACGCAAAGGAAACCCATCCCTCTCTGCCTCCATACTTATCTCTGTCATCATCTTCATCTTCTTCAATCTTTGTTAATTGTTCTTCGGGCTTTTCTTAATCTGATATCTGTTCATGTATCAATTTTCAGTGGGAATGGTTAAATTCACCCGTTGTTGACGTATGCAGGTCAAAATTAGCGTCTGATGATGAAACTCAGAACGGTTCATCGGAACTTCCAACTTCCATACCCAGAGATGATGTCTAAAACCCGACGTGTCGAATCCATTTGTTGACACGACTTATGATGGACGGACGTGCGATGTGTCGTAATGAGAATGCAAAAGGGTAACCGATTTATTTTTCTATAATATAGTTTCTGCATGCATTTGAGCCTACACTTTCTGGATGGTTTTAGTATATAATTTAGTTAAATTATATTTGTTGATGATAATTAAAGTAATTAATCTTATTGTATAAGATTATAATGTATTTTTGGAGTGTAGAAATATTCTAAAATTCATTTAATTTTGAGGATAAAACTGATGACAGCCGGTTGAGTAAGGAAATGAATGAAATGATCCGTAGGGGTTGAAGGGATTGAAACCAGGTGTCAACCATGACCTGGACTTCTATCCATTAATAAACTTTTGAGTATGGAAATGAATTAGTTTGTAATTAATGGACGAATCTGGGAGATATTATCTATATTATATATCGTTGTCAGCTTCACAATTTTAGTATGCAGATGTTAAGGAGAGGTTTTTACATTCATACACCTCCTTAAAGGCTCAATGCGTTATCACTGGCACATAGCTCAGTGCACTCTGTCCAATGAGCAGACTTTGGTGCCTACACTGATACCATTTCTAACATTTAAAGTTTACTGCTAGTAAATATTGTCTGCTTAATCGTTTAATCGTTTATAATAATTAATAAATGGATGAGGATTAAAATGGGTTTGATGGAGGTGGTGGCTGCATCGGGAGGCGTGAGAATGAAATTGGGTTATCTTGGGAGGGTGGAAAATGGGCCCAAGAGGACCCATTGAATAGCGACCTTGGGCATCCCATAGATTGGGTTACCCTTTTTAGCACTTCGAGGTATTTCTCAAAACATTTTCTGTTTTATTTATTTATTTATTTATTTTATAAGAAAATAATAATAATAATAATAACAACAATGTGTCTATTTTTGTCCTATTCTCTCAATTTTGATGGCACAAAATTATTTGGTAAGAACATAGATGCATACATTTATATTTCTTTATTTTCAATTACATTCGGAGAATCACCACGTCTCGAAGAGTCACATTCTATTGATTTCAATTATTATATTTATTAACTCAACAAGAAGAGTTGTGTCTCGTGATGACCCTAGCATTTCCTGCAATATGGTCACGTTACCTATTTTTCGTTTCTTAAAAGTGAAGGCTATCCTTACGAATTAACACGAGTCTTTCCAACATGTTTTGTCTTTATTCACATGCATCATAAAAATTAGCAACGTAAAATTGCTCTAAGTAAATGATAAAGAAGAAATTAAAATTATATTTTAAAAAGAATATAGAATAAAATATTATATAACTTAAAAAATGAAGAAAAATTAAAAATAAAGAGACCAAAATGACCTTTTTAACCTAACTACTATCAATAAAACTATTTTTTTTTATGAAATTTTAATTTTAATTAAATTGGAAAAAATTGAGCATAGACCATTTGAGGTAATCAAACCCGAAAGTAAACCGGAATCTGAAGCATTGAATCGATGAATCGAGCTGCGCAGACCGATTCGGAGTAATGTGAAGGTGAGAGACTCGACCCCCAATAGTATGGTCGGGTTCGGTTCTCGATCATTTTAAGACTAGCCACTGAGTGAATCGGACCGGCTTTCCTCTAATTTGGTTCATTTTGATCCCTTGCCCTCGTTTCTGTGGCGCCCTCGTTTTCCCTCTGGACAAGTGGAACTGCAAATTAATTCTATGGAAATGCCTGTTCTTCCTCCTGTCTGAGCAAATCTGGCTTCAATGCTCCGTCGGCGTCGCTGTTAGTTGTTTCATCTTGTCTTTCAAGCGCTGTGTCTCTCTGCGGTCTTCTCTCGAAATCTCATCCTTCGTTCTTTGAACTCTCAATCTTACTCGCAGTCCGAGCACTTTCGCCGTTGAATTCGAAGGCTCATGTGATTGGATTAAGATCTTAATTTATTCCTTCAAGCTTGTCGCTGGTCGTTTTCCTAAGATTTGGTAAATGTTAGCGCTTGCACCATGAAAACTATGCCTTTTATGGCTCTTAGAAGGAAGTTCTGTGAGAATATTGTGCAGGAATTCGTGCTACATCGATGCTACAGTTCTAAAGTCGACTTGAAGAAGCTTCGTCCAATGGTTTTGAAGAGAATTCAAAATCGGGCTAATAACTGTCCTATAAAAGGTCTAATTCCAGTGGCACAGCAAGTCTTTGAAGCTAGGGCAATGCTTATTCATGGAGTTTCCACTCTTCTCAAAGCATTTCCGGTTGTCTCTTGCAAGTCAGTGTCCCTTGAACAAACTATCTTTAATTTCTCAATTTTGTGTGATGATTTTACTCTGTTTCGTTTTCTTTTACTTAGTTTTTATCTGAAGTTGCATGTCCCTTGAGCTAGTATGTGTAGTAGGGATGTACCATTTTGAAATGCTGATTGGCCTTGCTTATCATCTAGCTATTACCTGACCATTCCTGCGCGGGTAGTGAGTTCAAAAAATTCATCAATGCATATTATCTAGTTCTTTATGCACAATTGGGCCGTCTGTGAAGTCTGTTCTTTCTGAAATTTTGATTGAACAATCCTGAGGTATTAATATGAATGCATGTTTGTGAATGCTGCTTCTAAAATTCGTAGATTACTGAAGGTGCCCGGAATTCATGAATTCTCTGGTAAAGGGGAGTCGAGGTTGAATTCTTTGGGCCCTTTGTATACACCGCCCGTCGCTCCTACCAATTGAATGGTCATGTGAAGTGTTCGGATTGTGACGACGTGAGCGGTTCGCTGCCTGCGACGTCGCGAGAAGTCCACTGAACTTTATCATTTAGAGGAAGGAGAAGTTGTAACAAGGTTTCCATAGGTGAACCTGCAGAAGGATCATTGTCGATGCCTAAACATCAAACGACCCGTGAACACGTTTAAGTCTGTTCTTTTTGAAGATTATATTAAAAACTCTCAGCTGTTAACGTGAATACATGTTTGTGAAGGCTGTTTCTGAAACTTGTAGGATCATTTTGTTGTTTTTATAGATTTTGTCCAGAAGTATATGTTGGTGAGAAAGGTCATCTGATACGAAGCTGTGGCGGTTACAAACGCGGGCCTAAGAATCAGGTTCATGAGTGGACCAGAGGTGGTTTGAATGATGTCCTTGTCCCAGTAGAAGCATTTCACCGTCATCACATGTTCGAAAAGGTTAATGAACATGATGAGAGGCTAAATTTTGAGCGTGTTCCAGCAGTTGTGGAACTCTGCTGGCAAGCTGGAGCCAGTACAAATGATGAAAATCCGTCTTCAAGCACTTGGAATTCAGTTGGTGGTGGTGGAGGCTCAGGCAGGGATGAACCTTTATCCGGTAATGAGATGAGGCTTTTGGCAACCGAAACTCTCAGGGCGTGGGAAACGGTTCGAACGGGCGTGCAGAAACTGTTAATGGTATATCCTACTAAGATCTGTAAATACTGCTCAGACGTTCATGTTGGGCCATCAGTACACCAAGCTAGACCATGTGGAGTTTTTAAATGTGAGAGTTGGCGAGGATCCCACTTCTGGGAGAAGGCGGATGTAGATGATTTAGTTCCTCCAAAGATCGTATGGCATCGGCGACCTCAAGATCCTCCCGTGCTCGTTGATGAAGGGAGGGATTATTACGGGCAATCGCCAGCAGTCCTGGCTCTTTGCACACAGGCTGGTACCATTGCACCACCTAAGTATCATTGTAGGATGAAAGTTCAAGGCTTACCACCACCTCAGAGTCACCTCAAGCTATGAAATCTTCTTTTGTTCGACTTCACGTGGAGCTTGACAACAACACTCGACTCGATTACAGTTCACGACCTTCAGGTGACCGTGCCTATTTATTTTCTTTCTTCCTGCTTTATCTGTTTGGTTGATCTAGTAAACATATAGAAAAAGTAACATGATGAACATCAAGCATAGCAACTTGGGAAAAGTTATCAAAAAGTTGAACAATTTTGAACTTGAGAATGTCTTGTAGATTCGTCTTCATTCTTTTCAGTAGAATAACATGTCACGGGAGGCACTTTTATAGGAAACTTGTATGTAAATTTTATGGATTTAAGGAATTGCATGTAGCTATTCAAAATCAAGACACCATTATGAACATGGGTCAGGTCGATCAACCTTTGAACTAAACGTTTTGGGTATGCAAACTCCTAGTTCACAAATATTAAAACCTCGAAATCAATTTGATTTCATTTCAAATGATTGCAACTCTGGAGCATTTGATCTAATAATCTTGTTGAAACATAAGACTTGTAGATCTAAAGTATCCAAAAATTATAAGGCATGAGAAATTACCCGAAGTGAAAAGTAAAGTTTGGATTCTTTGTAGATCGAACATCTCAAAACACGAACACTTGATAAATCTTTGATTGATTTTAAGCATGCAACCTAAACCGCCGAAAAAAAAACACAAATGCCCTTTCTTTTTTTATTTCTTGTTTGATTTCTTAGAATTTTTTTTCTTTTAAAAAAACAAAATCTATTTAACTACTTAACATATTTTTAATAATTTTTAAATATTAAATATTAAATTTAATGTTCGAAATTTTCGTCGTTTATTAATAAATTATTTACAAAATTGAAAGTAAATTTTAAATTTATATTTCAAATAATAGCAATGCCCAACTAAAGTAAACCCAAGAACTGATAGCGATGGCTTTTGGCTCATTTGCTCATTGGCTATTTATGCCAATATCCATTTTAGAACAGCTAGGAAGGTTTGGTACGACAATCATATAATTTCTAAAACTATTCTATTCTATTATATTCTAATCAACTTGTCTATGGGACCCTCGTTTGTTTAATCAAACAAAACATTTTTAGACTTCTGGATCAATGTTATTACTCAAAGTCTTTTGATTGCTTATAGAAAAAACATATGTTACGTTCATACCATAACAATTCAAGTCCTCCGCTAGTAGATATTATCCGTTTTGGTCCATTACATATCACAGTTAACCTCACGATTTTAAAACACATCTATTAGGGAGAGGTTTCTACGCCCTTGTTCTCATCTCCAACCGATGTAGGGATCTCACAATCCATAGAGAGAGGTTTCCACACTAAGGATGTTTCGTTCCTCTCTCCAATCGACGTGAGATCTCACAATCGGGGACCAGTGTCTTTGCTAGCACACTACCCAGTGTCTGACTTAGAAACCATTTGTAACAGCTTAAGCCCACCGTTAGTAGATATTACACGTTTTGGCCCAAAACATGTCTAATAGAGAGAGACTCCACACCTTTATAAGTGTTTCATTCTCTTCTTCAATCGAGGTGGAATCTCGCAATGTTTTCGTTATCCTTTTCCGAGAGCACATGCTTTGGCCGTCAATTTTGGTCTGCTGCTTCAAAATTTAAAACTATGAACCTTTGAGGCTGCTGTTTACCGGTTCATTGTCTCCTTTTCCTCCGGATATGGAATGGCCAACCATGTGCCTCCCGGCTCCCAAGCTCTTAGAACATTAGAACCATCTCAAATAATAAAGAAACCATTTCTCTCTATCCACAATGTCTTTTGTAAGGCGGCTATCATGTCTGGCCGCCATGCAAGAGCGCAATTATTGCTTGAAAATTGTCTTATAACGTGCTCTGTTTCCAGAGCAGGTGAGCCAATCAAGTTGTTTGGTACTTTTTAAGCATAGTTTATAGCTGAGGGCCTGGGGCTGCGAACTTTAGTGACGCCTGCATCCAACCAAACGCACCATTAATTATACACAAAGCATCACAGACATTCCAAACAGTAAAACTACACGAGTTTCAGATGTAAATTTTCTACTTCAGTCCCTAAAAATCAGTTCTTCTTCTCTTCTTCTTCTCACGATTCTTTCAAACATGGGTAAAGATAAAATCATTATGCAATATCTATAATTTTGATGACAGGCCCTATATTTAGCTGGATTTTGTTGTATGTGTGTTGAAATCTTGCAATGTGGACCAAAGATCCATGATTTACAGATAAAGTCATTCATGGCTACCTACTGCTTTTCTGTAAACAATTAAACAGTGGCACAATCAGAAGAACTTGTTCTTGTTGTCCTACAAGCAACGTGCCTAACTAATCAAGCCTATAATAGAATATGGCGGATTATAAAATACTGATTACTGTAAAGCTTCACCTAGAGAATATTTTAAATGTATGGTGGACCGTTTCCAACAGTTTGCTCCTTGTCTTGCTTGTTCTATTAGGTATATAAGCCTCTTCTTTCTGTGATAGAATGTCAAGCACAGAACAGAAGTAAATTTAGAGAATGAGAATGGGGAGGCTTACTTCTTTGGTGTTGGCCGCTATTGTTGGTCTTCTAGGCCTCATAGGCTCCACTCAAGCTCAGTTACAGCTTGGTTTCTATGCCAAAAGCTGCCCAAACGCTGAGAAGATTGTGCTGGATTTCGTTCATCAGCATATCCATAATGCCCCTTCATTGGCAGCAACTTTCATAAGAATGCACTTCCATGATTGCTTTGTTAGGGTACTGTTTCTTTGAGTTTCAAGCTTCATAACCATTCTTGATCTTTATAACTCCTCTAAGAAATTGATACTACTTCTCTTTGGTTGACAGGGTTGTGATGGGTCTGTGCTTATAAACTCCACTTCAAATAACCAAGCTGAGAAGGATTCTCCTCCAAATCTAACACTTAGAGGGTTTGACTTCATTGATAGAGTTAAAAGCTTACTTGAAGCTGAATGCCCTGGAGTGGTGTCTTGCGCAGATGTTCTTTCCTTGGTTACTAGAGATTCCATTGTAGCCACTGTAAGGATCCAATGCCCTTCTACTTTTTCATTGTTCGAGGCTATTTTTACTCTTTTTCCTATTGTGATTGAGGCTAATTTAGAGAATGGTCATGGGTTTATAAGTAAGGAATACATCTCAATTGGTACGAGGCCTTTTGGGGAAGCCCAAAGCAAAGCCACGAGAGCTTATGCTCAAAGTAGACAATATCATACTATTGTGGAGAGTCGTGATTCCTAACAATGATACGTTACTTTCTATGTGCAGGGAGGTCCTTACTGGGAAGTTCCAACTGGCCGGAGGGACGGAGTAATCTCAAGATCATCAGAAGCCCTGGCTAACATTCCTCCTCCTTTCGGAAACCTTTCAACACTCCAAAGACTGTTCGAAGATCAAGGCCTTGATCTGAAAGACTTGGTATTACTATCTGGTGAGTTCAATAATTCAAAGAACTAAAAAACTAACTCAATTCTTCGCTCAGTACTTTTCTCAAACACCTTGCGTGCAATGATCACTTCAGGCGCTCACACAATCGGTATAGCGCACTGCTCATCATTCAGAAACCGATTGTACAATTTCACCGGCGTGGGAGACCAAGATCCCTCTCTGGACCCAAGATACGCCGCTAACCTGAAGGCCAACAAATGCAAAACTCCGACCGACAACAGCAAGGTGGAGATGGACCCTGGAAGCCGCAACACTTTCGATCTTAGCTACTACTCTCTTCTTCTCAAGAGAAGGGGCCTTTTCGAATCCGATTCTGCTCTCACTAAAGGCGCAACGACCTTGAGTCTAGTTCAGAAACTTGTTCAAGGACCCATTGAAGAGTTCTTCTCTGAATTTGCAGCATCCATTGAGAAAATGGGACGGATTAAAGTGAAGACTGGAACTGAGGGTGAAATCAGAAGGAGATGCGCCGTCGTGAATGGTTGATTGATTCCAAATTTCAGTTCATGATTTCTTGCCACCTTTGATTTTGTGTTCTTCCATGTGCTTAGTTGGGAATTTTTCCCTTTTTCTTGGGGAGATTTGTGGCTTCAATAATTGTAATTCCATTGCAATGTTCTTTCTTTCTTCTGTCGGGTGAATAAGATTCTGATTTCAATAATTTGTGTGGATGATTTTCCGACTCTCAGTTTCTTTCCAATTCTGTTACAAGATGTCTCATTAAAATTTAAATACGCAATTACCCCTCCTTGGGATTCCAATTACGACATTATCCCAACCAAACAATAATGATTAATTGATTATATTATAGAAATTCACATTTTAATTTATTTTATATCCGTTTATATACATTTAATGTAGCATTATATCATTATTATACTATTTGTTAAATATTTTTAATTTTTTTTAAATACACTATTGATCGTGGGAGAGTATTAGCAAATTTGGCTAATTTTTAAAGTTCAAGAGTATTTTTGAAACGCTATTAAAAATTTAAAGATATTTTAAAAATAAAATATTAACTATTTCCAACCAAAATTAACATGTTTTAAATAAAATACTAATGATTTTCATCCCAAATTAACCTTAATAACATTTCTTTTTAGACTTCTTTGAAGAATATTATTAAAAATATTAAAGTTAATACAAAATTACAAGAGACTGGAAGTTTAGTCCGTGGGCCTCAATTAATGGGCTAAACACTTAATGGGCTTAATTACAAGAGACTGGAAGTTTAGCCCGTGGGCCTCAATTAATGGGCTAAACACTTAATGGGCTAAATTACAAGAGACTGGAAGTTTAGACCGTGGCCTCCATTAATGGGCTTAATTACAAGAGACTGGAATTAGCCCATGGGCCTCAATTAATGGGCTAAACACTTAATGGGCTTAATTACAAGAGTGGAAGTTTAGCCCGTGGGCCTCAATTAATGGGCTAAATTACAAGAGACTGGAAGTTTAGTCCGTGGCCTACATTAATGGGCTTAATTACAAGAGACTGGAATTAGCCCATGGGCCTCAATTAATGGGCTAAACACTAAATGGGCTTAATTACAAGAAACTGGAAGTTTAGCCCGTGGGCCTCACCTAATGGGCTAAATTACAACTGAATGGTAGACCTAGTCGTATGATGTTGAGGCCCAGTCCATTAGCCGCCACGCTGAAATCTAGAAAAAGAATCCTAAACCAGTCTAGAGCGAGAAACCCTAATTTCTCAGTCGATGGCCTATAAATTCACCGTGCGACCATCATCTTCACATCGTTGTCTTCTCCATTTTTATTTTGCTTTCCCTCTCCACAATTGATTCTTCCAGTCAAATCCCTCGATTCTTCGTCTACAGGGTAGCATTACCATACCATGTTCCGTAGTGTCTAGTTTCTTTGTTTCTCTCCCCCTTCAATTTCGGTCATCATCTTCTGTTTCATCGTTTTGATTTCCGCCGTAGTGCTGTGATGAGGCTATTTTCGTGGACTAGAGTTTCTGATCTGGGTACAATTCCCGGTATCTGATTAAATACCCTTGGCTGTCTGAGCACTGCTTAGAATTTTAATATGTTTTAGTGTCCGCTGATTTCTGTTAGATGTTTTTTTTTTTTTTGGATACAATTACTCGATTCTTTGGGCTTATGATGATATTTTATATAATCTTAGCGGATTTCAGTGAGATTTTTCCATCAATGATCTGACTGTTACACACACTGAAGCCTTGTTTTCAATAATTGTTGATTCGTTCTTGTTTTCTAGATTTATGTAGCGTTTATGTGGAAGATGAAGCTATGATGAGATGAAACACTTAGACGTGTTTAGGGCAGTGGACGTAACTTTTAATTAAGTTATGCCGTGAGCCTTTATATTAAACGACTTCTCCTTCCACTGAGCTTCTTTGTTTAGAGTTGTCCTCATTTATTTGTCTCATATTAGGCTTGTGAGTATATTAGGTATGAAACTGCGTCCATTACCAATTCTGGGGGATATACAGTTCCTCTAGGTATAATGGCACGGACGCAATATCAGTAATGTGGCCATCCTGATTGATGGTTAGTCTCAATCCCATTTAATCCTGGAAACACCATAGACATTTTAACCACGAAACCATTGTTTTGTTGATTATTTCTTAGTAATTGTATGTGATATCTATCTGAGCAAATGATGATACAAATTCATAAGAGCTGATTTCTCTTTGATGTTTACAAATTCGAGCTTTTTAAAACTGATGCTCAGATCTTTCAAATTTACATTTTTTTCTGTCTGCATTGCATATATTTATAGGCTTGTTCTATTCGAGTACGCACTAGGCAAATTAACCTAACCTTTCTATTGTTTCATAAATGTTTTTGTAATTACAAATTCTGTCATGTATTTCTAGTTCTTCAGTGCAGGTAGACGAGTTCGGTACTGACAAATCCGTACACTTAGCATTGGTGAAGTTAGTTTTGCAAATTATTGTATTTATTTAGGTAGATGACAATGATAAAGATTACTTTGTGGATGCACAGTGATACTCAGCGGCCTGTATCTCGGCTTGTAATTGTGAATTTTACTCAGTAATACAATCATGAGATTACATTTTTGTTATTTATTGGTGTTCATAATTGTTGTGTAAATCCAATTTTTAAATAGATGAATCATTTATTTTATAGATAGATTAAATTTTTTGAAAAAGCATTAAAATTTAAACAATATAGTATGGTTTTGAATATGAATTTTGGTTTTTTTTAACAATTTCGATTAGTGTTAAGGGTATGGTATGATATGAAAACTGGAATAACTCTTGAACGATCCTTTTCCAAAAGGGAAAAAAGTTCCAATGTTAATAACACTAATTTGACTACAAAATGGTCCTTAAGAGAGCTTTGTATTTAAACCATAACATATATGTATGTGTCATTCATCAAATTTGAGCATTCCAACAGTTATGGTGAAAAAAATCATGAAAGAAAATAGTTTTTTACATAATGATTTAAGTGCTTCTATGAAGATCGAGATTGTGACGTCTTATAGACAAGAGTAAATGTATTTTAAGTTATGTTCTTAATTTTTGACATAAACTTCATTCAAGTTATAATTCAAGCATATACATTTAAAGCTTATGGTCTATTCAAGACAAAATTTAAAATTTAGAAAATAATTACTCTTAATATTAAATGCGAAACCTACCGTTTGGTTTTGAGTTAAACACAAATTTGGCATAACAAAATCAAATTTGCTCATTCTACTATTTGTCTAATCCTACAAAACTAGTAATCATATTGGAATAAAGTTGTTGAAACATTAAGAATTGCTGTGGATGTTCATAACAGTGAAAGTTGTTTTTGTTTGCTGATCTCGTTGGGAGGAAATCCCACAGGGAGTGGCTTGCTATGGATGCTGCTGTTGTAAGCACTTGGGGCACCTGCATTCGAACCCATAATCTGCAAGTAATGCTCGTCTCTGTTCAAATGGAAGATCTTCATCTATATATGAAACTGTGACCTGAAAACATCCACTATTTGCCTCAATACATTTTCATACAACTTGTTCATAAATACATATTAGTCCTGAATTACCTCCTCTCCTGGATGGATTGGCCTCACTGCAATTATGGTCGCTTGTCCATCTCTATCCTGCCATGATCATAAAGAACATAAAACTAACAGCTTTCGGGAGGAAAATGAAAGAACATGCTACTGCAAATCGGACACAAAAACAAATGGCAACAGAAACAAGCTACACATACAATTCAACGACGACAGACGAAGCGAATTCAATAAAATCCATGAAATATTAAGATGATTTTACATACCTCCTCTCTTTTGAACGCTTTTGCATTAGGATAGCAGGAATGATTCATACAACTCTGTAAAGGGAAAAACGCTGTACCTGGGATATGTCAACACCCTCCCATTTTTCAGTATTAATGACCAAAGAACACATTACTTGTTTAAGGAAAGAATCTCAATTGCTACTACTTGATAACAAGGATGAACATACCTTGACAACAGATTGAATAGCTATCGCCGAGAACATCCAAAAGGGGTCGGGTAATTTCCTCTGCCTTCTCCTGTCATTAAGAATCATACACATCAAGGGTTGCAAGGGTTGCAATTCCAGGATCTTTGATGCATAAAGGACATGCATTCTAACCTTATAAGGAGATGGAAGTTCGTCAACATACAAGAAGTAATCCTCTACCGGTGATGCTACAACCAAATCACTGAACCACACATGTAAATTTGATATTAACTTCATGATGGCTTGAGATTACAAACAATATTTTGCGGATATCAAAAGAAAAAGATGGAAGGGTTACAAACCGAAACGTACAGATTATTTAGCTCAAACATGCCAATTATCTGGCCATATATTTCAAGGGAGAATACTAGTATAGTCAAGGACCTGAAATCGGCTTCGACAAAAACAGAGGAAAACATATATATATACCCATCAATTCCTAACTTGCAAGGATACATGGTTCACATCCTTCGTCCAAAATTGCTTCCTTGAGGAGCTGCAGTGACTGAAATTTGCAAATATGCAAATTTAATTTCATGGTGTTATATATAAAAATCATGCTAAGATCAGCATATTCAACAGGAGCAGTATAACTAAGAATTTCTAATAAGAAAGTTATTTACCGTGAAAGCCATCTCTCTTATTTGCATTCGGAATGCAACTTCGTTAGAAGGTTCGACATCTTCCGGCAATGCAATGCAATCCCACCACCTAAGAACGAGTAATTTTCAACATCGCATCAAGAGAAAAAAAATGATTTCCAGACGAATGTCTCTAGTCTAGGCTCACTGAAATTAGAACTAAAGACCTAACCCTGCAAAGATGCAAATGCTAATAGTATAACAATGTTCTATTAAGGGAGCCTGTAGGGGGTTCTAGTTTGAAACTCATGGCCACCTCCGCCGGACCATTTTCCAAGGCCTATGGTCTTCAGGTTAATGAGGGCTTGAGTTAAAGTTGTCGTTCAAAATCACTGCCTACCAATGATTACAACACCCCCAGCATTCGAGGATAAAGACAACCCGAAAAGTTAAGAATTGAGTTGAAGCACGCAGTCACTCTATTATATTAAACTCTAATAACATTTCGTATGCGCTGATGACCTCCATCGTTTCGCCCTTATAATGCACGATCACAGCTAAGAGCTGAGATTCAATTTCCTACTTATTTCACAAAGCGCACATATGAGAAGCTGGTCCAAAAGGCAATTACCTTCTCTTATGTCCCATTGAGATTGGCTTCCACGCCTCCAAAAGAATGGATAGATCAACAATGTTCCCATATTTCCTTTGTTCTTCAGAACAAGCCAGCTTTAACTTCTTATACCTTAAAATAGTAGAAGAAATTGCCTGGAAGAAAAATGCAAAATTCAGTTGAATCGCCATCTTCAAATCGACTAACTATGCTACGTTTATTTTTCATTATTGTTTTGATAAGCTTGGATAAACAGTATCACATGAAATGGAAACAATTATAGTTCAGCTTCAATGTCAATGCAATGAATTGGATGAAGCAGACTTGAAAATCAACTAAAAACAGTGTGTAAAGAATGTACCTTTGCAGCGAGGAGGAATATGTCGTTCGTGTCTGTCGAACCCCCGAAAGAAAAAAAATAGGCCGACATTAGAGAATAATAAAAAAATACATGACAGCTACAGCTGACAAGTTCGAGACTTACCATTAGCATTTTGTATAAATTTTAGCAGTGCTTCCCTGCGTGATGGTTCAGTTTTTCGCCCAGTACAAAGCAAGGAATGGAATGCTTCCCAATCAGCTTCTGCACACGATTTACTATAATACGGAACAGTATATCAATTGCTTTGCTTACTCAGACAACTTCCACACATGATCTGGTATAAAGAAATTCTTTCAACTTAGACATACTTTTTTTCAAGACATTTTCAATTTAGACATAACTCCCTTGCTAATGATGTCAAGACCTTCCAAAAATAAAGCTTCTCAAGCAGCAAACGTAGATTTTCATAAAAAGAAAAATGATACCCACTACTAGCAGATATTGTCCTCTTTGGGTTTTCCCTTTCGGGCTTCCCCTCAAGGTTTTTAAAATGTGTCTGTTAGGGAGAGGTTTCCACACCCTTATAAAGACGGCTCCGTTCTCCTCTCCAACCGACGTAGGATCTCACAATCCACCCCCCTTTGGGGCCCAACGTCCTCGCTGGCACTCGTTCCCTTCTCCAATCGATGTGGGACTCCCCAATCCACCCTCCTTCAGGGCTCAGCGCCCTTGATGGCACACTGTCTCATGTCCACCCTCCTTTGGGGTTCAGCCTCCTTGCTGGCATATTGCCCGGTGTTTGGCTCTAATACCATTTGTTACGGCCCAAGCCCACCGCTAGCAGATATTATCCTTTTTGGGCTTTCCCTTTCGAACTTCCCCTTAAGGTTTTTAAAATGCGTCTGCTAGGGAGAGGTTTCCACACCCTTATAAAGAATGTTTCGTTCTTCTCCCAATCGAATCGATGTGGGATCTCACAATCCACCCCCTTCTCATTCTCCTCCCCAACCAATGTGGGATCTCACAATAAATGCAGTGACTTAAGAAGGATTATAGAAATACTAAGAACATATCTATTTGATTTTTAGAAAATAAAAATGCATTTCACTTTTTTTTAAAAAAAAGTTAAATTCATCATAAGTCTGCTACATATTTCCTTGTTAAGTTTAACATAACACCACCCTCCCCTTACAAACAATCCATAAAATGAAGGGAAGAACCAATGTTAGATGCTTAACGATTCAGAAATGTCTTTACCTGCAGTAGAAGGCCTCACCACATCCCCCAGAACAAGGAATTGCTGGAGGCATGGAAAACTCTTTGGAATGAGGCAATGATAGGCCACCATTCATCAATGATTCCACAAGCCCGTTGGGTAAAGCTACACCTTTAGAATTGCTGGAAGAACATCCTCCCATGCTTTCATTATTTTCTAACGCAATCTCCTCGCCATCATCTGATTCCGCTTCATAGCAATCTTCTGACATGGGTGATGACGGTTCCATATCACATTGATGATTAGTCGAAACGCCAAGATCTTGAAAGTACAATTTCCTTCCAATTTGAAGTTCTATAGACCCAACAAAGCGAAAACAAAAGCTGCACACTAAGCAGTCCATCTGCAAAGCAATTAAAATGGAGCATAACAATATAAGTGGAAATAAAAACCACCAAACTGATTCATGATGATAATATTTCAGATTTGAAAACCTTATTTGACGTATGCTGTGATCCCACAAGCATTTGGTCCTTCAAGACAAGGTCCCCTTCTTTGAAAGCAGCATCAGCAAAGACACCTGCAGTTGATCATCAGCACACATGAATCAGACTTCCATTTAAGATATCAAAAGGTTAAGTTTCAATCACCTATCCGAACACTACCAGCACGCACAAATTTAAAGAATCTACATTATCAATTCT